AACTGAAAGTGTGGTACTACGGAGTGGGATTTCTTGTTATCTCCCTCGAGAGCTCTCGAATAATGTGTTTTCGGGTTGCACCTGCGGAACATCGGACTTCGTACCAAAATGTTCCTAAGAAGCTCCTTGGAATTTGGAGCAAAACGAACGATGTGCGCTAACAATCGGAAAAACGCTTTGGAGAGCTTTAAGTGAGGTGTTTCCCTGTCCATGGTGGAATACTATTGAAGGGCGGTGTTCATCTCTTGGCCAGTGGGGGAAAATGTACGTTGATGTGGTCGATGTCAGTCTCTGTACGATGACAGCAGTCATCCAAGCTCTCAACAAACCAAGATCTTGATAACAAAAATATAATAACATAGAAGTTATCAAAATAATTTACACTGAAAGAAGAGGGAATGAAGTTCGCGGCAAAATCTAAATCAGAAGAGTTAGATGAGGAGATACACTCTTACTCAAGACTTTTGACAGCAATATTAAACTACATAGTATCTGAAAAGTGGGTTATAGACAAGCTGTAGGTGGCATTGTCCACCTCGGATGCGCTTTATGAAATAGTTGTCATAGCGATGGAAACGAATTTCCAAAAACGAAAGTAAATTTCGCAAACAAGGCTGCAAAGTTGGATGCAAGATACACGATTTTGCTAAACAACATTTAAAAAAAACGTTGGATTACAATGAGGACCAAAATTCTGAACTCAAGGGGCAAATGAGAGCAGAGTTGAGTTATTTTCTGTAAAAACTTAATTTGATAATGAAAGTAGCATAGCAAATGGGATTTAATTAAAAAAATGCTTTAATTCATTACGTATTTGTCAGCTGCGAAGCATTAATCAGAAACAAGGGCCCCGAACAAAGGTGGAATGAAAGCTAAAAAAGAGCAGAGAGAAGCACACGGAGAGATACGTACATGTGGAGTTAAACTGAGAGCCATTGCTCAGAGAGCAAACACAAATCGAAGACGTTGCGTTGGCTGTTAAGTGAGTGGCCTCTTTTGGCAACTACCTCAACATTTCACCGGTAAGACTGCAGCTCTACAAATCCTAGGTCTTAGAAGGTTCTCATGCACCATTGACCATGCCTCCTCTATCAGCTACGCTTTAGGCATAAAAGTTCCGAGGTTCGGGCTTCTTTGGTTCTCGGCCCTAACTCAGATTTGGAACGCCTCTGCCTGAAGAACTGCGCCTGACCGCTGACAATTCTCCCATTGAGAAATTAAAACAGACTTATTTCCTATATGTTAGATAAACTAGAGATGTGGGTTTTTTGTATATGTATACATGTTACTGTACGGTACTCTGAAGCCCTTTGTTGCTGGATCTGCTGTGCCTTATAAATAAATAATAATACAGACGTGACCGGTGACAGCATGCCGGCCAAAGGAGCGAAAGCACCAAGAGGGGATGACCCACCGGGGAGATGGAGCGATAGGGTCGGATCGTGCGCCGCAAAAGTGAGACGGATTGCAGTGTCACGAGACCGTGAGTGATGGGCAACGAAATAGGGAATGCCTCCATAATATAGCTTTTTTTAGGTTAGATCGTGTAACTATAAATGTGTTGTTAATCCAGCCGCCACCCGACACGGCCAATTAGTAAGGTTTGTAACGTAAATAGAACGTGGCCAATTCGTTCCGAGTGTACTGACAGTAGACCCTACATGCGGTATGAGTGGACTAGTGGCCACGGGAGGTAATGACAGGGGAATCAGCCTACAGTTTGAATGCACTAGTGGCCACAGGAGGTAATGGCAGGGGTATCAGTTGTGAGTCCGAAGAGACTGGCGGCCACGGGAATGATCGAGAAGGCAGCATGGTCAGGTGACGGAAGAGGACAGTAGAGTCTGCCGTTGGAGCGAGCGTCCAGAGTCAGCGAGAAGGTTCGGGAAGGGGGGCGTGGCCTCGGTCGGTATATAAGGGAGATGCGCGGGAGACTCTGGGCTGTTGCAGTGCGGTCTCCGCCTGTGTCAAGTGAACGTGTCTTCAATAAAGCGCCATCTCAAGAGAAATGTGTCAAGTCATTACACAAGTCGTCATTTACAATCTGAGTATGACGTTTCACCAGTAATTACAACTCGCTTCATCAGGCGAGAAGCCAAATGTATCGGGTGGTGGCGAGTTTAATTACACATTTATAGTTACGCGATCTAACCTAAAAAACCCCTATATTATGTATTATATTTGGTCGCGAAAGCCTACGTGTTAAACTAGGGAAGGCCTTCACCCTGCAGCGCATAAACCATGGCCGCAGACGATGATGACGACGACGATGATCGGGGGGCGAATCGTCAACCTTGTCTCCCCCATTGGATGCCCCTTCATCCCACGACCTCTCTCCGCTGCCATTCCATCATCGCCGATTTTTGTACGCATCCATTGCCCTCTCTTGGAACGTCGCACCACGGTATACATTCACTTTTTATTTCCTTGGAGTGCCTGCGGTTCGTCTGGGTTTCACATTCCTTCTTTTTTGGTGCACGTGTCTCTTGTCCTGGCTCCTCCTGTCTTGGCTGGAATTACAAAATGCTCTTGAAAAAATATATAAATCTCTCGTCTCTTTCCTCAATGTTATCCCGATTGTGTTATCAGAGTCACGTCGTGACAAGAAGTATCCGTTCAGAGCAGCGCAACCCTGGAATTTATCCCAAATGAATGCAGGAGCAACTTTAACGTGACTGGTTCTTTCCGCCGCACCGTACATTATTATGAGATCATCAACTCACTTCCACTTCAGAACCCAGTTTGAATCACAGCTGGGCAACAACACATCCGGAATCGAACCCAGGTACTCAGCGGTGGCAGCTCAGATGTTGGCTCGATCCTCCCCGAGTCGCCTGCGTTACCTTACAAAGTCCTCGTTTTCAACCGACACGACAGGGTGGACGACATACACACGCACACACACATACACGCTTCCATGTTTGCATATTCTGGAGCGCCTGTCTTGCATGCACTTGGAGGTATCTGCTCTGTTGAAAGGAGACAAGGAGATTTCTAATCATCAAAGTCTTTCCGGAGAGGCAGCATGTGTGTGTGTGTGTGCGAGCGCGCGCGTGTGTCCCATAACACAAGGGTCTCATGTGGTACAAGGTCGCAGCGGCTACGTTTGATGCCCATGAGCGTTTGCATCTGCCACGCTCTATCTGAGCCAGCGTGGTTTGTCTCTTAACGAGCGACAGAAATTTTTGCCTGCAGCCTTGGAACAAGAGCCAGAGTGATTCCGTCTTATGCTTCCTTTTCAACGTCCATATCCTCAATCTGGAACGTGTCTTGAAAATGGCCTTTGGATGACCCAATGGGTATGGGTCTGTGGAAGTGGTGGCGCAATGGTTAGAGCATTGTGGTACAAACCTGAGTTCGATTCCCACTCACAGCCACCAACACCAGTGACGGTTATCTGAACCAGTCCTGGGCCTCCCCAAGGTCGCCTCAGCCTCAAGTGAGTACTTAGTGAGTTGTGTAAACATCGCCACTCGGCAGACAAAGGTGACTGACCGTGGTGCTGGCCACCCACCCTCTCGTGTGTCATGCTGGAAATTCGTAAGTGTTCGCTAACAGCATTTCCCCCAAAACTCCTTTAAGGCTATACAAGGTATTTTTGTCTTTGTGTGCGTCCTCATTCTCTACGATGCATGTTTCATGTCCAGCTTTTATCGTCGCGGTGTTGAAATCCGATTGGAAGTCTACTGTCCGTAGATCCAGAGACCGGTCTTTGAGTCAATACAAAATATATTCTTGGATCACCATCAGATATGATTAGTGGCCATCAATCAGAGACTGGTCTATCACTTTATTATCTTAAGGTCACATTAAGAGGCTGGCCAAAACTTGGCTTGTCATCTATAGTCTACAGACTTTGTCAGGGACCAGACTGTCAGCTTTGTCTATAATTATCTCGAGACCACTTAAAAAAAAACTGTCTTTAAGTCATTGTCCAAAGACCCCCAATCAGAGACCTATCTGTCATTCTATAATTGCCTAGATGCATCATTGAAGATCAGTCTGTCGGTTTATAATTATCTAGATAACCCATCAGGGACCGGTTTGTCAGTCGATCATTGTCTGGAGACCCCATCAGCAACCAGCCTGTGTCAATCTTTTGTCCATAGATCCCATCAGCTCGCGTGGCCCTCATCATTGTCTATAGTGTCCATCAACAAACGAGTCTCCAAACCCACACGAAATCATCCAACTAATTAGGAGCTTCGGGGAAGGGTGGGGCTGCTGCTGAACCATACCATGCCCCAAAACACTCAGATGAACACACTAACATTACAAATGAAAAATAATAAATTCTTATTAACCATAATAAAATAAAAGTCCAAGGTTGTGTGTGGGGTGGGGGAGGAGGCTATTGAATATTGCACGGTCTCTGCCGTTTGGCATTCGAAGGCGAGGCTATTCGACGCAACGAGTGCCGACGGTCTCCGTGTCGTTCGCGACTCCCCTCGTTCCACCCCACTGCTCCAAAGGGCGTCCCCGCAACTCCGGCAGTACGCGCGAACCTCGCGCACGAAGCACGCGCTTTCAACTTTTCGCATCTGCTTTTTTTTTCTCTTTCTGGTGGGCAGTGGCGCTCGTTGGTGGTGTTTGGAGTTTGGCTCCAATTGGTAAAGTAAAAAAACACAACACACAAAGGCCGAACTCGTTTCACTCAACACAGTCGACTGGCACAACATCGCGGGGAGGTCGCGACTCTCTCGCGCGGCAACTCCATGTCAGGGTCAGGACTCGAACCACGCCGCGACGAGCCGAACAGCTAACTCGTGTCCTGGGGGGCGGGGGGCGGAGGCCTCTTTGGGAAAAAAAAAACGATGGGACGGTCGACTGTTGCGGCCGTGGTGGTCGGGACGGTTCTGACCGTGGTGGCCTTGCTTTCAGCCTCGCTGGGTGGTCCATGCAAAGGCCTCTATCATCAGCAGGAGCATCAGAAGGAGCAGCAGCAAGAGATTGCACGTGGAGCTGTGGAGGACAGAGCCGATGAATCGCTTGCTACTCACAAAGATCTCCTCCAGGTGATATTGAGGAGGCTCCGAAGAGGAGGCGGAGGAGGAGAATCAGGGGGTGAAGAAGCGAAAAAGCAGTGGGCTGGTTCAGGGTCTCCCAGCTCATCCTCGGCCGGTCTACACACGTCAGGTGAGATGGTGAAGTACCGTTTATTGCTGGTGCTGGTAGTCATGGTGGATGTCTGGTGGTGGTGTTGCGGTTTGTGCTATGCTACGAACCTGGCCACCCGAGTTCGATTCTTGCTTGTGGCCACTAACACCAGTGATGATTGTCGGAAGCGGTCCTAAGCCTCTCCTAGGTCGACTCAGCCTCAAACGAATACCTGGTGCAGTGTGTAAACATCGCCACTAGGGAGACAAAGGCGGCCGAGTGTGGTGCTGGCCACCCACCCCCTCGTGTTCCTGTGCCGGCATTCATAGGTGGTCGCTTTCAGCACTTGCCCCAACAGTCTGTTCAGGTTATAAGGGAGATCTTTGTCTTTGGTATAGTGATAGGATTAATATATCGGTGCCCATGGTTGTGATGATGATGGTGGTGGTGATGTTGTCAGTGCGATAGTAGTGACGTGGTTTTTGTGATGGTGTTCGCGTAGTGGGGCGACGATGGTGTCAGTGTGACAGTGATGGTGTCAGTGTGACAGTGATGGTGTCAGTGTGACAGTGATGGTGTCAGTGTGACAGTGATGGTATCAGTGTGACAGTGATGGTGTTAGTGTGACAGTGATGGTGTCAGTGTGACAGTGATGGTGTTAAGTATGACAGTGATTGAGAGGCATTCCATTAAAAATCGATTCCGACGCTCACTATACACGCATCAAACCGTGCGTGTGAACATCGATTAGTCACCCGTTTATGCAAATTATAAGTAAACTAGCCTCCAAGGACGGGTGTATTGCAGTAAATCTGAAACTTGCAAGCGAAAATCAGACCGCGACGTGATATTCATTGCATCAATTCGTGTGCAATTTGTAAGGGCACGGTGACACAGACCTATTTCATTTAAAGGTTATAATCCCTTGTTCATCGTGGCATCCTTTTTACTTTGATGTCTCAACAGCGTTACGGAGATCGCGTGACGTGAGGGTTCTGCCTTTGTAGTGAGGGTTGTAAGCTGACGCCGAGGAAGGGGGGAGGAGGCACCTCGGCCCCCCATATGGAGTGACGTCAGCCGCTAATTATTATTAATGGGGGGGGGTGTTAATTTGGAAGACGTCACCTCTTCATGATTATTAATGATGAGGGTTGTTCGATGTGGAGTGACGTCATCCACTCATGATTATTAATGAGGGGGGGGGGGTCCATGTGGAGGACGTCACCTGTTCATGATTAGTAATGAGGGGAGCTGGCCGACGTGGAGTGACGTCACGCGCGAGACACACATATTCTTGGCTCATTATAGTAGTAAATACAGAGGATTAAGAGAACATGTGCAGGTGAGTGGCGTCATCCCAAACTCTGAAGACAAGTGAGCGGAGGCTTGAGCAGAACAAATACGGTCACCGAATCGCGCAGCGCTTTCAGATGCGCTTCTGCGGCCGTCTGGAATGCTCTTCCGTCGATAATAGGAAGACACTGGCAGCTATGCACTTTTAAATCATCTAGATTGAAAACTAGTTTCTTTATAATTGCTTTTTTGTGTTTAGTTTGTTGTCCTTCCCCCGCAACTCCGATTAGTATGGTTGGCTATGTACGCCGTGAAAGATGTTCAATGTAATAAATACAAACATGGCTGAAGACGGTGAAGGAATTTACAACAGAAAAGTGACAGACCACTCAAATCATCCACTTATTAATATCGGCCTTCTGGCCTCATCAACAGGGTGTGCGTGACCTATTTTTTCTAATTCCACCTGTGTCGATGCACAGTTATTTAATTCGCGAAAGCGTGCAGCATGTTGTTTAATAAATGTACACTCGTGTATTTTATTTACCCAGGAAAGCCTCAAATGAGTCTTTTATTTCAGGAGGGTCCCCAGCTACATTGGGACGGTTGGCCAATTCTGATTGAGTGGCATAGTGCGAGGAGACAGGAAAGCCAGGAGTAAATCCCACCTCTCACTAGTGCTGTTTGTTGATGACTGCTTGGCGTTTTGGTCTCTGGTGCTCTACTTGGGGAGCCAGAATAACAAAGCCTCATGCAGCAGGAGAACACGCTTCTGGTTGCGTTCGCAGCTGCGCACGTCTCAGTGTTCCGAGAATATTTCTGGTATCAGCAGTCACGAGATCGGCCTCTGTGGAGGAGAAGGCTCGTGAAGGACACTACTGGAGAGTTGGAGGCAGTCACCCTCCAACAAAAGCGGAGGGCAGAGGAGGAGCGACGCTCGCAACAACGAGCGGAGCGCCGGACAGCTAAAACGCAGCAAGTTGGCACTCAGAAGTGAGCACAGGTGGTGGATCTGCTGGCCATCTCAGTCAGTCAACCCATGGGTCTGTCCCGTGACCTCCTGACAGCAGCGAGCCTTCGACAGTTCACGTGATGGCCACAAGGTGCATCTAGCCTGGCACAATCGCTGTGATGACGTCACTGCCACTTAGTGGCGAATGGCGGTTGCTGTTCTTGTTGTTGAGACTACTTCTAGGACGCGTCGGCACCCCTGGTAAGCATGAAACGTTGGGCCAACCTTGGTCTTAACGATTCCACATTCTGACGTTTCCCCCAACATTGCACGTTTGCCGATGCAATGGTTATAGCGGCACTGCTCCTACAGACCCGGCAGCGTTTGGTTCAATTCCTTGACCGTGGCCAACACCAGTTGGAACAGACCCTCGCAAAAAAGTGAGATGTTCCATCGTCAAAGGATTTTCCTGATAACACGTAAATAAATATAACCGGGCCATTTCTGGGCCTCCCCCTGAGGTCGTCAAGACAGCCCTACATTAGTGCCCGATGCAGAGGTGTATAAAACGACAACAATGAGAAGAGAAACAAAGGCTGCTGGGTAGTAGTGGTGGGCACACCACCGCAATGTGTGCACGCACCGTGTTGGTCTTAATAGGTGCTCGCTAACCGCACTTTACTCAACAGCCGGTGTGAGGCTAAGTGGGGGATCTTTGCCTTCGTCTTCGAGAATTCTCCATGCCAGCGTCGTCTCTCTCTCGCCAGGAGGAGGGGGCAGCGATGATGATGCCGAGATTACGCGACCCCAGAAGCGACTAAGGGATGGGGTCAAGATCCGTGGGCAGTGCCACCACAGGGTGGCAGAGACGGCGCCGGAGGTTCGGAGCAACGTGGACCACCCCAGGTAACGGCGCTCAACCGACACCAAGATTCGCTATTTAAGACCGAAGCAGGAGGATTTCTCCGCAACTCTGACTGTCGCCTGATGATGCTAGTTGTAAATACCGGCCTCAAAGTCACGGTACTCGAATTGTAAATGTTGTGGTTTTACTCTCCAACACAACCAGTGTGCTGTACTAGGAACGAATTGCCGCGTTTTGTTTGCGTGACAAACACCTTATTAATTAGCCGTGTCGGGTGGCGGCGGGTTTAACGACACATTTACAGTCACTCGATCTAAATAAAAAACTTCTATTATCGACACCAAGATTCGTACCGCAATTGATGTTTTTCGGGCGGGTAAGTTTGCAGCGCGAGCAAAAAAATGCCAGCGTTTGTGTGTCAAACACCCTCCGCCACCCGACACGGCCACGCCACACGAGCAGACGTGGAGGTTTCACTCCCGCTTGGACAACACCGTGGTCGGTGGTGATGTTGTAGAAGAGCGATCCACGCGACATTTAACAAATGGGTACGAACGTTCCGCGGGTAGTTCCGAATCAGAATAATTATTTATACTGGAGGAATACGATGAGCTATTAAGATATTTTTCACGGATGTCCAGTAAGGTCACGGGGTCAGAACGTTACAACACCAAACAATACAAAAACATGATAGCGGTGCCTAGTATAGGGAAGGGAAGCAAATAACATCAAATAAAACCAAAATTATTTTTTCATGTGTGTGCAGTATATATCTTACCAGGTAAAACCCACTGAACTATAAGCTTCTTTATCAGAAGCGACTTGGTCACATGTGATAGCTCAGCGAAATGGCTTATCACGTGAAAATGTATAGCAGTCAGCATAATCATCACCATCATCGGGCGGTTGCCAGAATTGTGAAATCTTCTCCAGTCTTAGGCCGGAAATAGTTGGTGTGATTACCATAAACGTGCCCCCCTACCTTACATGAGTCTGGGTTGCAGAGATAAAAAAAAAACTTGGTTATGTCAGGTGGAAGAGGCTGTACAACACACATTGGCATTTTACTCATGACGACCTGACCCAAAAATCTATTCTGGACCTTGATATTGGTTGTGAAAGTTTGACATGAAGATTTCACCACGACTATCATCAACCCTTTATACTCCTCAGCCCCGTAGCCTTGAAGGGGAAGTTGGGGGGGGGGGCGCTGAAGGGGGCTAACACCCCCACTTCTGCTGAAAGCTCAGCGCCACCCCCATTTAAAGTCTCATAGTCAAGAAAAAAATGTTGGTACAATGTTTCACAGAATTTATCTTCAGCCTTAATTTCACTCGTGGGTTGGGTGAGAGCAAGAGCAGAATTCACGACAGACAAAATAAATTACCTGAGTAGTGGGCGGAGCTACTAGGGTAGTAAGTGGGGCTACCTGAATAGTGGGTGTGGATACCTAAAGAGTGGGTGTGGCTACCTGAAGAGTGGGTGGGGCCACCTGAATAGTGGGTGGGGATAATTGTATAGTGAGTGAAGCCACTTGAGTCGTGTATATCTCAATTATGATCGCATCTTCTGTCTCATATCTCATGCATCGCTTTCCTGCGGAACCACATCAATCCCTTGAAACGATGTCTCTTCTTCTCCAGCTCAACATCTGTAGTGGAGGAGGAGGTGGAGGAGGTGGTGGTGAAGGAGGAGCAGGAGGGTGTGCACGAAGGCCAGGATGCCGGCACCACCGACCAAGGCTGCGGCGCCAAGCCGCTGCACCTCCCGAAGTCCTTCGTCACCGACATCTTCAGCTTCCTAGCGTCGACGTCACGCCCCGGCAACACATGCGGTCACCCCGGCAGCTGCGGTGCCGCCGACCGGCCCCTGGCGCTGCCGCGGCCGCCATGCGCCAAACACGACTTGTGGAGTGACGGCGCGATGGAGGCCAGCCTGCGCACCCGGGAGGCTTTTGCGTTCGCGGTGCCCAGCGCCATTATCGCTGCGGCGCCATCGCCGGACGACGAGGAGGAGGTGGAACAGGAGACTGCGTCGCCGAAGGCAGTGCCGAGATGCGGAGGGGAGAGCTCGGCTAATTGCTCTCGAGCGAACGCAAGGAGACGGAGGGATGGACATGACGATGAGGAGGAGGCGGCGGAGGAAGAGGAGGAGAAGGTGATGCTTGCTAAATTACGCCGTGCCGTGGAGCAGTGGGCAACAGAACGGAGCGAAGGGAGGACGGGTGCCGCGGTTGAGAGTGATGGTTCGAGCGTTTCCCGCGATGACGGTGGACGTGGAAGACAAACGGTTGCAGGAGGACGAGGTTCTAGAGGAGGTGACGGAGGCAGAGAATGCAGAGGAAGAGGAAGTAGAGGAGCAGGAGGAGCGCGCAGAAGCCACGACCCCTTGTGGGAGGTCGTGCAGAGCCTGCGCGAGAGGCGCGGGGCCCCGCCGGGCGTGGAGTGGCCGTCCGGCCTCGAGGGGCTCATGGACCGCACGCTGGTGCTGCTGCTCAAGCAGCTCATCGACACGCCGCCCATGAAAGACCCGGCCGGCGGCGCCACGCACTTCGGCAGGCTGCTCAGACACTACCTGAGCCGGGACGACGCAGCGCCCCTCGCGCCCGCCGCTCGCCGCGACGACCCGAGGGCCCGGACTCGGGGGGCCCGGCACCCCCGGTGGCAGGGGGCTCTCCGCGGGGAGGAGGAGGACGAGGAGGACGCTGCTGCTGCCGCCGTCACGCCGGGCGGCCAAACACATGGCAAGATCACCAAGTTCCTGGTGCTCAAGGCAATGCAGGCGGTGTGCGAGCAGTGGTCGGGGAAGAAGCCTCGCAGCGTCGAGGCGGTGAGCAATAGCAGGCCATGCAGGTGCGGAAATCACTACCCGCCGTCGAAGAACGACACCGGGAGCGACGGCAGCAGCAAGGCCAAGAGTCAGAGCAGCGGCGCATTCAGCCTGTGCGCGGGCTGCAAGCTGGAAGACGTGAACATATGCCTGCGCATATTGTACAAGCAGCACGTGGTGGAGCCCAAGCTCACCAACATCCACGACTGCTCCGGGCAGTGCCTATCGACGTCCGGCTGCTTCGACCTCTACATGAACCACAGCTACGTGCTGCTGCAGCAGGAGATACGCCAGCCCCTGTGCGTGCCCATCCACTACACGGGCCTCAAGATGCTCGTCATCAATGACGACAACAGCATGAGCTGCGGGAACAATAGCTCGAACTTGAGTGCCCACATCATCTTCTACAAACAAATTATCGCAAACGAGTGCGGGTGCAGATAGTGGGATGGACGGGGCTTGCGATGATGGGGGGCAGCGGGGGTGGGGGGGCTAAGCGACCGTACCGAGGAGCCCAAGATTAGGGGAGGGGGTGATCCCCCCCCAACCACCCTCCTCCATCCACCGAGAGGAAATTACAAGAAAAACCTACTTGGTTATTAAATTGACACATTGACAGAAGCAGGGAGACATTGGAAAAAACGACTAGGGCAACAACAACAACCGCACGTTCACCGAAGATCGAAGAAAGGAGAGTGTGGTGCTTTGGACGGAACCCCAAGAATGGAACCCTGACGGGATACCAGAACGTCAACACACACACCACAGTACAGCAAGAACGGAACCCTGACGGGATACCAGAATGTCGATGCACGTACCGCAGTACAGCGATAACGTAACCCTGACGGTATACTGGAATGTCGACGCACACCGCAGTACAGCGAAAACGGAACCCAGACAGGATATAAGAATGCACGTACCACAGTACAGTGAGAACGGAACCCTGACAGGATACCAGAATGTCGATGCACGTACCGCAGTACAGCGAGAAACCTTGCCCATTGCTGGGGAGGGGGGTTGCATTCTTTAAAATAGCCCCAATCAACAAATCTGCGATCTGCAAACTCAAAGGCATTACAGGTTTGGTTCACGGTTTGCAATATGACACCCCCTCGTTTTGTTTATGTGACCCTACATCAACCCAAACATTAAACGGGAAGTATTTTGAATGTAAAATATGATTAATATTTTCTAGTGCGAAATATAACTTGTAAGGTAAATGTATGGAGTGAAAAAGATTACGCAGTGTACGATATTATACACGTGTCAGTGTACAGTGCCGTAAACTACATGAAGAAACCTCACTGCCTCCTCACCGGAGGCTGGGAACGCCATGTGACCTGGGACCCCGCGATGGGAGACAAGATGGGAGACGATACCGCGTGTGTTCTTCCACAGCGGCATCATCGCGAGCAGCACAGTTGATGACGCATGCAGGAATCTCGCGGTCAACCGCAAACGGTGATGCCACAGGCGTGCGCGATCGCTCAACTGTGCCTCAATTAATTTGGCGGAAAACGCGATAGCTAAACCCGTGAGAGGGAAGGGTTTGCCGTGCAAAAGATTGGGAAGTCGAGGCAGGGCATGCTTTGGATTGCACGTATATGTATGTATGTTGAACTTCTTTCGCGCCGTACGTAGCCAACCATGCTAATCAGAGGTGCGGGGGATTGATACGAAGTGAACGGAAGGGGCTGTGGGTGAACAAATTGTGAAATTGGTGAACAGACAGCAATAGACAGATTCGCCTTTATCCAGACCCATTGTTGCTACTGAGCAGACAGTCAGGACCTGAAGATGCTAATGTTATAACTCAGTAATGCTTTCCAATGAATGCACACAGATAGTAGTAGTAGTCGTGTGGTCGATGCTAGAAGATCTCGACCCAACGACGATCACGCAAAGCGCTTGCCCAAAATGAACCACAATACCGTACTGATCTCATAAAGGGGCATAAACCATCATCATGCGTACTCCGGCCATCCTTGCAGCAGCGGGTTTTGGCTGGCCATCGAGCGCTTTCAGACACGCATCTGCAGTTGTCTGGAACGCTCTTCCTCCTGATATTAGGAAGCCACCGGAGCTATGCTCTTTAAAATCATCGAGATTCAATAAACACCACGTGTAGGGCAATATGGCGACGCAATACTATTGATGTCAAGGGGCAAACCTCAAGAATCGGAATGTTTATTTAGACTGGAGGAAGCTGTTGAGCCGGGCTCTTTTTTCACACCAGACGTCCAGTTTCAACGAATGAGAGCTAACCTGGTTTCGATCTATGTGTACGTATTTCGATCGAGTGTCATCCCTTCGTCCCAAATTAAACATTCCCAAGGGTAAGCAAGCACATTTTGTAAATGCGCAACTCTTATTTTCACCATGCTCAATACAATTCTTGGCCCAGACAGACAAAATTGCTCCCTGGGACAATGGAGACAGGGTATGGGGGAATGGATATGCAGGTGGGTACAGTAAACATTACGACTGTTATTATTGCTTCAACACGTAGGCATTAGTATGGATTATTATTTTTTACCACGGCTATACATTTCTCTCCTCGGGTCGTAGGGCCTGACCGCGGTTACAGTGCTGGTGGTGTAGGTGAAAGAGATCGGAAGTGGATAACCCTGGATAAACAGAATAAGCTTGCGGATAAGCGTAGTTAATAGTCGGGTGCGAACACTCTGATATTCGCACCTGATAGGCTCACAGTGATTTAATCGCCTTTACTCTATTTAAGACCGGAAACAGGAAGACTTCTTCACAAGTTTGGCAAATCGCCTGATGAAGCTGGCTGTAATCACAAGCAAATCGTCACGATACTCAAATCGTAAATGTTGTTGGTTTACTCTCCAACACACAACCGATTAGTGCTGAATTAGTAACTAATTGGGGCACGTTTTGTATACGTGACAAACCCCTTACTTCATTGGCTGTGTCGTGTGGTGGTGGTGGGTTTAACGACACATTTATACGTACGCCATCTAACCCAAAAAACATCTACAGGGACTCTCCTACTAACGAACATTCAACTTACGAACTTTCAGAGATACGAACAAACCTATCCATATGTCCAGTTGCCTGTTCTGACCGAGAGTCATAAGTTCAACTCCCGCAGTGGTGGCATCTACATCTGCAGAACGTGAAGATACCAGTGGTATCTGCAGAACGTGAAGAACCAGTGGCATCTACATCTGCAGAACATGAAGAACCAGTAGCTTCTACATCTGCAGAACATAAAGACACCAGTGGCATCTACATCTGCAGAATATGAAGAACCAGTGGCATCTACATCTGCAGAACATGAAGGTACCAGTGGCATCTACATCTGCAGAATATGAAGAACCAGTGGCATCTACATCTGCAAAATATGAAGAACCAGTGGCATCTACATCTGCAGAACATGAAGAACCAGTGGCATCTACATCTGCAGAACATGAAGAACCAGTGGCATCTACATTTGCAAACGATGAAGAACCAGTGGCATCTACATCTGCAGAATATGAAGAACCAGTGGCATCTACGTCTACAGGATATTATACAACTTTTAAAGCCATCCCCCGTGTTTAGTGTACATACCGTATAACATGTTTGGAATGAACAGGAGTAAAAGTTGTACTTACGAACAATCGACTTACGAACAGACTTCTGGAACCTATAATTCGTTCGTGAGTAGAGGCGTCCCTGTATATTTGTGAGAAATTATTGGGATTCCGATGTTTCTTACCTAGAGACGGTGGTGCTATCTGTAAGACGCCTTGACGGGAAAGGACGATAAGATCACGAGGTGTCGTCGATTTACCTCCGGGGCACCTCGCTCCAGGTAGCAGAGCTGTCGTAGCACAGGCGTCCGACGTTCAAGGATCTCACCCTCTTACAGTATCACCAAAGATCACTCTTCCCCCCCTCCAAGTGCTGCGTTAGTAAGCAGCACCGATGAATGGGGGGGGGGGGGGGGGTATGGCACATGGATGGGGTGGCTTTGCCAGCACCCACGCCCGGCCGCCTTTGTTCCCCCCCCCCCAGTGGCGATGTTTATATGCACACCACATGAGGTTACAGCACAGGGTGGACTAGATGTCTTGCACCCCCCCCCCCAATTAATTGAATCCAAACAGAAAATGCTTCCCTTTGCATATTCATTTGCGTCTAAATAAAAAATTATAAAGCTTTAATGGGGGTGGGGGGTGGTGGTGGGTGGGGAAGGTCACAAGACATCCGGACCACCCTGTACAGTACAGCAGCGTATCCATTTGAAGCCGAGTCAACCTAGGGGGAGGCCACGGGTACTGGTTGATGACGGTGACCCCGTTGGCGGGTAATCGAAACTCACCACAACCATCACCACCACGACCAATGACAACTAACTATCTAACTAGCTAGGTAACTAGCTAACTATCTAACTAGCTATCTAACTAGCTAACTATCTAACTAGCTAACTAACTAGCTATCTAATCTACTAGCTAACTATCTAACTAGCTATCTAACTATCTAACTAACTAGCTAACTAACTAGCTAACGAGCTAATTATATATCTAACTAGCTATCTAACGAGCTAACTAACTAGCTAACTATCTAGCTAACTAACTAGCTATCTAACTATCTAACTAGCTAAAAAACTAGCTATCTAACTAGCTATCTAACTAGCTAACGAGCTAACTAACTATCTAGCTAACTAGCTATCTAACTAACTAGTTATCTAACCATGTAACTAATTAGCTATCTAGCTAATTAGCTATCTAACTAACCATCTAACTAGCTATCTAACTAATTAGCTAACTAGCTATCTAACTAGCTAACTACATATCTAACTAGCTGTCTAACTAACTAGCTAACTAATTAGCTAACTAACGAAACTAATTAGCTAACTAGCTATCTAACTAGATATCTAACTAGCTATCTAATTATCTAACTAGCGAACTAAATATCTATCAAACTATTTGACTAACTAGCTAACTATATATCAAACTATCTAACTAACTAGATATCAAACTATCTAACTAGCTAACTAGATATCCAACTATCTAACTAGATATCTAACTAACTAGATATCTAACTAGCTAACTAGATATCTAACTATTTAACTATCTAACTAGAGATTTAACTATCAAACTAGATATATAATTAACTAACTAGTTACTAGTTATCTAGCTAAATAGCTACCTAACTAGCTATCTAACTAGTTAACTAGCTAACTAACTAGCTAACTAACTATCTAACTAACTAGATATCTAACTAGCTATCTAACTAGCTAGCTAACTAATTAGCTAAGTAGCTATCTAACTATCTAACTAGATATCTAACTAGATTTCTAACTAGCTATCTATCTAATTAGCTAACTAGCTATCTAACTAGCTAACTAATTAGCTAACTAACTAGCTATCTAACTAGTTATCTTACTAGCTATCTAACTAACTAGCTAACTAACTAGCTATCTAGCTAACTAGCTAACTTACTATCTAACTATCTAACGAGCTATCTATCTAAATAATTAGCTAACTTACTAGCTAGCTATCTAACTAGCTATCTAACTAGCTAACTAGATATCTAACAAGCTAAGGTCTTTGACTGGTAACCTCTACGATTCGCCTGGGAACGGAACGAGCCAGAGAGAGGAGAGACGGGTGCAGAAAATGTTGACGTCAACAACAACAACCAACAACAACAGACGGCCGTCCATGTTAAGCGAGAGAGGTCGTGGCTGGAGGAGGAAGGGAGGGAGCGGAAGTGGCGGCGGGGACGGAGGAACACCGTCACCACCCCCATCATCATCAAACAAACAAACTGTTGTTGTTTTTAAAACTAAAGTTAGCGGTAGGAAAGAGTTGCGCGTACCTCCTCGCCATGTTGACGGGGGTAGGGGATTGTTACACACACGAGGCTCGCACGTTCACGGCTGGCGTGAAGACGCAGGGTGTGTGTGTGTGTGCTGGGTGTGTGTATGTTGGGTGTGTGTGTGTGTTGGGTGTGTGTGTTGTGTGTGTATGTGTGTGTATGTGTGTGTTGGGTGTGTGTGTGTGTGTTGGGTGTGTGTTTGTGTGTTGGGTGTGTGTATGTTGGGTGTGTGTGTGCTGGGTGTGTGTGTGTTGGGTGTGTTGGGTGTGTGTATGTTGGGTGTGTGTGTGCTGGGTGTGTGTGTTGGGTGTGTGTGTGTGCTGGGTTTGTGTGTGTTGGGTGTGTGTGTGTTGGGTGTGTGTGTGTTGGGTGTGTGTGTGCTGGGTGTGTGTGTGTTGGGTGTGTGTGTGTGCTGGGTCTGTGTGTGTTGGGTGTGTGTGTGTGCTGGGTGTGTTGGGTGTGTGCGTGCTGGGTGTGTGTGTTGGGTGTGTGTATGTGTTGGGTGGGTGTGTGTGTTGGGTGTGTGTGTGTTGGGTGTGTGTTGGGTGGGTGTGTGCGCTGGGTGTGTGTGTGTTGGGTGTGTGTGTGCTGGGGGTGTGTGTGTTGGGTGTGTGTGTGTTGGGTGTGTGTGTTGGGTGTGTGTGCTGGGTCTGTGTGTGTTGGGTGTGTGTATGTTGGGTGTGTGTGTGTGTGTGTTGGGTGTGTGTATGTTGGGTGTGTGTGTGCTGGGTGTGTGTGTGTTGGGTGTGTGTGTGTGCTGGGTGTGTGTGTGTGTTGGGTGTGTGTGCTGGGTGTGTGTGTGTTGGGTGTGTGTGCGCTGGGTGTGTGTGTGTTGGGTGTGTGTGCTGGGTGTGTGTGTGTGTGTTAGGTGTGTGTGTTGGGTGTGTGTGCTGGGTTTGTGTGTGTTAGGTGTGTGTGTGCTGGGTGTGTGTGTGTGTGTTGGGTCTGTGCGTGTGTTGGATGTGTGTGTGTGCTGGGTGTGTGTGTGTTGGGTGTGTGTGTGTTGGGTCTGTGTGTGTGTTGGGTGTGTGTGTATGTTGGGTGTGTGTATGTTGGGTGTGTGTGTGTTGGGTGTGTGTGTTGGGTGTGTGTGTGCTGGGTGTGTGTGTGCTGGGTGTGTGTGTGTGTTGGGTGTGTGTGTTGGGTGGGTGTGTGTTGGGTGTGTGTGTGTGTGTGTGTTGGGTGTGTGTGTTGGGTGTGTGTGTGCTGGGTGTGTGTGGTGTGTGTGTGTTTGGTGGGTGTGTGCTGGGTGTGTGTGTGTTGAATGTGTGTGTTGGGTGTGTGTGGGTGTGTGTGTGCTGGGTGTGTGTGTGCTGGGTGTGTGTGTGTTGGGTGTGTGTTGGGAAGGGGGGCAGAGGGGGCCCTTTGAGAAGCTCTCATCTCGCATGCCCTGGTCCGCTTCTTCTTACATCAGCTGGAGAGACACACACAGAGACAGAGAGACACACACAGAGACACACACAGACAGAGAGACACACACAGAGACACACAGACAGAGAGACACACACACAGAGGCACAGAGAAACAGAGGAGCTTAAACAAGAGGCGCTGTTACAGCACAGTCACAAAAAACCCACCGACGGTCACCTCCCCGCCTCCCGATAACTCGGAAAAGAAATCCTTTGCCCCGGTTCCACTCTTGGCTGTTACCCCAATGCACCCCGCTAGGTGGAGGACACGAGGCACAAGACAAAGATCCCCCGTCTAGCCTTCACAGGCTGCTGGGGGCAAGTGCTGTTAAGCGAGTAAGCAACCTGTGAAGGCCTTCGGCACTGTGACACTTTTGGCTCGTTTAAGAAACTTAATTGCGGGCTCTTGAAATATCGAGAGTGTTTATTTGTTGTTTTTGCTTTACCGAATTGATAAGAGGGGAAAAAAATGTCTCGTCTTGTTTTGGTTGCCGACCCCCCTTGACCGTGGGAGTCCAGTTTACCATGGGAGTCAAGTTTACCATGGAAGTCCAGTTTACCATGGAAGTCAAGTTCACCATGGAAGCCAAGTTCACCATGGGAGTACAGTTTACCATGTAAGTCAAGTTCACCATGGGAGTCCAGTTTACCATGGAAGTCAAGTTCACCATGGGAGTCCGGTTTACCATGTAAGTCAAGTTCACCATGGGAGTCCAGTTTACCATGGAAGTCAAGTTCACCATGGAAGTCCAGTTTACCATGTAGGTCAAGTTCATGGAAGTCAAGTTCACCATGGGAGTCCAGTTTACCATGTAAGTCAAGTTCACCATGGGAGTCCAGTTTACCATGGAAGTCAAGTTCACCATGGAAGTCCAGTTTACCATGTAAGTCAAGTTCACCATGGGAGTCCAGTTTACCATGGGAGTCAAGTTCACCATGGAAGTCCAGTTTACCATGGGAGTCAAGTTCACCATGGAAGTCCAGTTTACCATGGGAGTCCAGTTTACCATGGAAGTTAAGTTCACCATGGGAGTCCAGTTTACCATGGAAGTCAAGTTCACCATGGGATTTCAGTTGACCATGAGCAGGGGTCGGCAATCTACGTCTCCGAAGCTTCATGCTGCCTCTTTGGCTTCACCTTTGCAGCTCTTTGGGTGCCCGCAGTTAAAAAAAGAAAACGTAAAACTTAAATAACAATTCTACGTAAAGACGATTGATTAAATATGGTAGAGAATGGGGTTAATATGGAATGAATGTATTGGTGACAACATGTACAGTGCAGTCAAACTGTATTGTTAAAGAATAATTAATGGGGGATATCCCTAACTAGACGCAGTTTATTCCATCACCTATTACGTTTGAGTCAGAATGTATTTGTCATCTGCTGTATGCGCGCTGCTGTGTGTTGTGTACACGTAGCTCTTCGTGCGATGCGCCTCTCGAACTAATTTGGTCAAAGACAAAAACAATGGCCCTGCTTATTCTTCTTCTTCTTTGAAAGGTTGTCGACCCCTGATCATGGGCAGCGTCCACCACAGGCAGCGTCCACCACGGGCAGCGTCCACCACGGGCAGTGGCCAACCTTGAACAGTGTTCACCATGGGCATGAAGGCTGCTTAGGGGCCGTCCATAAATGACGTCACGCACCTGGGGGGGGGGGGGGTCAGACATTTGTGACGATGTGTGACGGGGGGGGGGTTGAGAAATGTGACGTCACATCAAAATGCGCAACTTTAAATAAATATAGACAACACGTTCTACTTAATTAAATAGACTTTTTAATAAATGTTTTCTCCTACAACATCAGAGTGCAGCGCCACATTCAATACGCACTACAATGACAATAGTTTAAAGCGATTTAAAGCATGTTTAAAATATTTTTTGGGGGGGCAGAGCTTTATGACGTCATATTTGAGGGGGGGGTCTGACTTTTTGTGACGCCGTGTAACGAGGGGGTGGTCAAAAATAATCCAAAATCGCTTGACATAATTTATGGACGGCCCTTTAGCGCAAATGCTCTCTGTTTTCAAGACACTTCCTATTTAACCTTACTTTCCGGAGAAGTTCAACATCACATTTCGGTTTCGCCCCCCCCCCCCCCCCCCCATTTCTTCCCAAAACCACATTCTCCACGCTATTATACCACGCTTGGCCGTGCTACCGTACGTATTAGTGATCTAGCGGACATCATTCTCCACGAAAGTAATTGTTTGCGTTTTGCCACCCACGGTGGTACCGATCTGCCACTTTTTTGGGGGGGCCAAATGTTTCAAGCGCCGTTAGAAGAATGTCCTTTCAATTTGGAATGCAACGCGCACGGCCACACTTGTGTAGTGGGTTAAATTCAGGCGCACATTGAAACTTTGGAGGCAACACTATTATCTAAACACAACGGGTAACTCTTAACATTAACAGGATAACGACATAGGGTGGTGGTAACCACCGTTCCTAACTTAGCTAGCACACGGGGATACTATATTTCTGGACCAGAGACCGAGGATCGTAGATGGTAGCTTCGTCCCAGAGTTGACCCAGCAGAACAGCCCAGAACAGCCCAGCTCTCCGTCCACACCTCACTTATAACCACTCCGACGTGGCAGGCTCCGCCCCGGGCCACGCCCCCCTTCCCGATCCTTCGGGAAGGCCCAAGCCCCCAACCACGTGACTCCCCTGGGGCCCCTGGTCCCCCTTTATCCGGTCATGTGTCCTGTTGGGTTCACGAAGAGTATCACGGCCTGACACGACCTCCGCGACACCCGCCTACAGCCCCCATACCTAGCCAACACAGTAGTGTCGTTCTACTACACTACATCTGCATGGCCGTGTGGGTTTTCGTACCTGCGCCGCCGCGTAGCTTCTCCGATGGGTTTACAGGTTGCACCGGCGTGTTGTTCCACACGATGTCTGACGTTTCGCTCCGTGTACTATCACTGGCTGGCAAGGGGGGGGGGGGTGCCTTCCGCTACAATCAATCGATGAATCCAAGGTTTAAAATACGTTGTAAGGTCGCGCTGATCACACACGAAAAGCGCTTGCCGCAAATGAACCACAATACCTCGCTGTACCCGTCAAGGGTCATGAACTGTCAATCACGTGAACTCCGCTCATCCTCGCAAGCGGCGGCTTTTGGTTCGGCCATCGAGCAAAGACGGCGGTCACCGCATCGCGCGGCGCTTTCAGACGAGCTGCTTCTGCGGCTGTCTGCAACGCTCTTTGCTTGCGATTTTGGGAAGCCACTGGAGTTATGCGCTTCGAAATCATCGTCTAGATCAGGGGTGGGGAACCTTTTTTCTGCCAAGGGTCATTTGGATATTTATAACATCATTCGCGGGCCATACAAAATGATCAACTTAAAAATTAGCCTGATATATTTGGTCAAACATTGAATTAACTCACCCCTAATGCGATGGCTGGAACCGCTTCTCTTTGGCGAGGCATGTGATGATGTTAGCTAGTATTGATGATGTTAGCTGGTATTGATGATGTTAGCTGGTATTGATGTTAGCTGGTATTGATGATGTTAGCTGGTATTGATGTTAGCTAGTATTGATGTTAGCTGGTATTATGTTAGCTGGTATTGATGATGTTGCTACTCACAATTGCGTTTCTAGGCTTGCTCCTAGATTTATTGAATTTCGAGTCCCGCCTGCGGCTGCCTTGGCGGGGCGACACCAAATGATTTTGCGGGCCTCATACGGCCCGCGGGCCGGACGTTCCCCACCCCTGGTAGATTGAAAACTAATTTCTGTAAGAGCTCATTATTGTGTTTCGTTTGTTGTCCTTCACCACCCGCCCCGCACCTCCGATTAGTGCGGTTGGCTACGTACTGTGCGAAAGAAGTGCAGCGCACAGACATAAAGTAACACCATAGTCGGCAAAAAAGAGATTAGATGGAAGCACGCATGGCACTGGGAAATGTAAAAGTAAGTAGTAGAAGAGCTAAATAGATGTATTTTGTTTAGTCTAGAAAGGGAGGCAAAAGAGATCTCCTCTGGAGAGACGTTTGGCCATATAACCCGCGGGGTATACCACTTTTTAAAAACAAAACAAGACCCTGGGGGTATATGGAGGTGCGGGCTATTTGAAATTTGGTTTACACAAAACACTATTTTTGCGGGTATATGTGTCTGCGGGAAAATACGGTAAATGGGGGTCACGAGATATCTGGACCACCCTGTACAATAACAATATTTTAATGATTTTATAGACGAGAAAAAATATATAATCGACTTAATAACTAATTATTATATTCAAATTACCTAATTATATTTGTTTACATCGTACAAAGGCGACCATTGCATACGTACCCTCATAATATCATCGGTATACTTAAACTATTATGATTAAGCAAGTTAAGATGCCGTGTATGCGCAATTGTATTGTATTCAAACTATTCACTGGTGTCTGAATATCCTTCAAATAAACACGCAAAACTATCCCGTAGCTTGAAATATTATTGTACATTGTGATATGCCAACTACAATATACAAATGTGCGACGTAATTTGCTCAATCCACTGCTGGATGAAAGGCTCCCATGCCATGCATGTTGTGTTGTGTTTGACTACACTTCGAAAGCTGGGGAAAATTGTAATAGCAAGTGTGGCGCTGCGGTGGAGAGATGTTAACTACATCACCTGGTATACAGGAGGTCGTGGATTCCATCTCGACCCTGACGCCTGCTGTATATTTGGAGTTTGCGTGTCTATCTCTCCGTGGTCTGCGTGGATTTTTCTCCACATTTAGAATCAACATCACGCGTTTGGAGCATTTGGCTGCTACATATTTCCACGTGATAAGCCACTTCGTTGAGCTATCATTTGTGATAGTCAGGCCGCTTCTGAAAAAGAGTGGGGCCTTACCTAGTAAAATAAAACAAACTTTAGTTTTATGGTTTATGATATCCCAGTGCTTCCAATTACTAACCGTTCCCAAGTCTGATTATTTTATTGAATAACAGTGCCAATGTGTGTTGTTTCTTTCGTGAGCATGCATTGTCTTGGGCACCTTGATTCATGAACCCGCCCCCCCCCACTGCTCACCCCCACCACCACCAGAGTCTGGACAGACCAGAATAAGCAGGGAGCAAAAGCCAACCGGGAAAACTGAGCGAGCGAGGCCGCGTTGTGACATTAACGCAAACCCACAGGAGCCGATTTAAAAATTAACGGGGGCTTGTTCCTGTAATTCACCGTCTGTTAATGTACACCCTCTTAATGAGGGTAATTGGTTCCACGAAACCGGCCGTTAAGCGAGTTGGTCGTTAAGCGAGTACCTGTATAGATGTTTCCACTTCAAATGCGCGGCACACTGAATGTAAACGATGCCCCACACTTCACTACTATACACTATATACTACACTACACATTGGGCTCTATGGAGGCCCGTCGTAAAGCGATTAGTCATGAACATCAGTGGTAGTTAAGAGGGGTTTTACTCTACAATACTATACACTACACTATAGAATACACTACACTACTATACACTACACTATAGAATACACTATACACTACACTATATACTACACTATACACTACAACACACATCATCGGGCACTGATAAGGGGTATGTTGGATAAGGGGTTGACAGATATGGTCACGACTTTATGGAGGTATGTTGAACTTCATTTATGTTGTACGTCATGTATGTTGAACTTCATGTATCTATGTTGAAATTCATGTACGTATGTTGAACTTCACGTATCTATGTTGCAATTAAAGTACATATGTATGTTGAACTTCATGTACGTATGTTGAACTTCGTGTATCTATGCTGAAATTCATGTATGTTGAACTTCATGTATATTGAGCTTCATGTATCTATGTTCAAATTCATGTACGTATGTTGAACTTCAAGTACGTATGTTGAACGTCATGTATGTTAAATATCATGTATTTATGTAGTACTTCATGTATACTCTTTGGTTCTATTCGGTTAAGTCACGTAGGTAAAAAACAAAACAACAAAAAATCAGAACAAGAATCGAACGGTCCGGGGACCACTCTCCCATCGCTCTTTACGCCGAGACTAGTTGACAAAAAGAGAGCCAAAAGCACATCGGTAAGTTCATAGGGTAATTTATAGTCGCATTTGGTATTATTCTTGTCATATCACTGCACCGTTAAAATCGGTTAAAACACTCTCTCGCCCATCGAATTCCAACGCCAATGCATCTTCCTCTTGTGGTTCTTCCCTGCTGCGGAACTTTCGAGCCCGGCTTAAGTTCTCTCCCGGGAAGAAGTCTCTTCTCCAGCATAAGGGCCCTTTTTTCCCAAGATCGTGGGGCAGAGTTGTGTTTTTCTTTTTTCGTCTTCTTCTCCTTCCGGCAGTATTCTTCTTGCTTCTGGCAGGAGCTTGGCCGTATGACGTGATGACATAAAAAAACAAATTAATAAGTAAAACAAATTGAAAATATTCTACGAAAAAAAATTAACTGTACAAAACTAATTAAAACAGAACGGGTTAAGTTTGTTGATTAACATTATAATCAATCAACCACAACAGGGGACTTCGTGGTTAAGCGCATTCCAGGGCTGGTTTTGTTTTAAAAACAGAAACCCTGTGGCTGGTTTTTGACTTCACCGATTCTCATCGTCAGCAGGCTGCGGCCAAGTTTGACCAACGCCAACGAATGGTCTCATTTAATTTAAACCTGCTGCAGGATTTACCCTTGCTTAGAACTTGGGATGCACCAAACCGGAATTCCCAAAAATTGGTCGACGGATCGAATGGTTTCAACTTCGTTTAGGCAGTAAAACAAAATGCCGTCGGCCTCTCTCTTTTCACGGGTCTTGCCGTTGCCCGTAATGATTCGGGGCACCACCGCCTCCGCCGTAATGCTTGTGTACAAAACTAAGCCATCTTGCGCCTCTGCCAACAAAGGCTCAGACACCCAAATTCCCCTTTTTCCCACTGGCACATTCGAACCAAGAGCCAGGACCGGGCCATTATGCTACTGGGGGGGGGGGTGGGAGTCGGGGGACACGGCTTTCCACTGCCTATATTTGCCGTGCTGAACCGTAACCACCAAACTGCGACGTGCTGGTCCTCACAAAGAACATCCGAGTCTGGATCCGAGTCCAAGAGAGGACCAGCAGCAGCAGCGGTGGCGGGGAGCGGGGAGCGAATAACGCAGGCGGTTTGTTGCGTGCGACATCAGTCGGCTGCGTCACCGTCGCGCATCTCGACTCGTCCGTCGCAATGCACCGGCTCGGCTCGGCTCGGCTGACGCAGTGGAAAAACCAGGCAGCCGCCTTCAGCCGCGTCGCCGGGTTCGCTCAACATCGCCAACGGCGCAGCTCGGTTGTTCAGTGGGAAGGGAAAAAAAAAATCAGATACAGCGGGGGACTAGATGGGAATGGTGCGAGAGGGGGGCGCGGGTGGGAGGGGGGTGGTGGGAGGGGGGGGCGGGGTGGTGGGGGGTAGTGGGAGGGGGGGACGGGGTGGTGGGGAGGGCAGGAAAAATCAACGCCCCCACCACGCAGTGGAATGATCCACGTGGTTACCCTCAAGGACTTCAGTGAGCACACGACACGAGCCTCAACAACATCTGCACTTTTACCCTTGAAAATACAATTTTGCCGCCCCCCCCACCCCGCAAAAAAAGTGGCCCATCAGATACTTAAGTGGCTGAGCTGCCAAAAAAGCATTCCCCATCAAGCGGGGAGGGAAATCCGCGCCTTCCGATGTTGGCAGAACCGTTAAAAACAGGAACTCCAGACACCTTCATTTTTTTTTGCAAGTGGCGTGCAGTCCGCATCCCACGTCGGGCGATTAAAGCGCGGAGCGTGAATGTGTTCGATCCTAGGAATCCTATGTAGCGCAGAAACACTGTTGTCTCGTGGAGATTACTTGTCGTTTTGTCATTTAACATTTTTGCCAGGAGCACCTCAGAGAAATGGCTGTGCACGTCAACCCTTTCCCGTTCCGGTGACGTACGTCGTCAGTGTTTTCTTCCGAACGTAACCGGAAGAAAAACTAAAAGTAACTTTATCGGTACCGAGGCTCCCACAAGGCCACGCGGGAGGAGGCGTGGCTATCGTATAGTTACAGTTCTCTGCGGTGACTCGTTTCTTTAAAAACGGCGCTGCTGCGCTTCTCGAAATAAAATTCATGCCGAACCCGCTTGCGCTTTCCCGAGATTCAGCGGTGAACGGGACACCCGCACCCTGCAACTACTTGCACACGTCTCGGAACAGGAAAGGGTTAATAACCTGTGCTCTCCCCTCCACCCCCACCCGCCCCCCCCACTCCACCCCACCCCACCCCAACCCACCCCACCCCAACCCACCCTCCTCAAAAACCTTGCCGAGCGAGCATCAGGAACGTTTTCTCCGTCTCGGCTTTTTGTCGACTTCGACATCCCGCCCAGACTCTAACGACGACGTCGACGATCACATCAACGTCGTTGACGTCGTCGACAACGACGTCAACGACTCTCCCCATGCAATGCCGCGGTGCGCGGGCCCCAATTCGACAACGGGAGTCACCGCGCATCCCCTGCGATGCGACGAATGCGCTGTCGTTCCCCGCGATGCTCGCGACGTCGAACAACGCGGCCCATCGGCGACGGCCTCTCGGGGGGAAAAAAAAAAGACATTCGGGCAATGAAGGTCTAACGGTTCGGTGTCGAACCGACGGACGACCTCGCAAAGGGAAACAAACAACGACAACAAAAATTGACAACTGTCACGAGTTTTAAAATGATGCTCTCTCTCTCTCTTAACTAGACTGCCGAAGACGCGCCGGGCCGAGTTGACGAGCGCGCACGTGTAAGGGTCAGGAGGTCACAGGCTGAAGGTCGAAGGTCAGATGCTCGCATTTCTACCGAATGCAGATAGGGGGTGGGGGGGGGGGCTATGCTAACCCTGTGCTTGCAAACAGGATTACAGTCTTTGCAAATGTACTGCGTTCATTTTGCGCGCGCACACGCGCAAGTCACCGTAAACGTTCGTCTCCTCCCGCGCGCAAAGTGTTTCCAATAAAAAAAATGCTTCACTTGGCTGACTACAAAGTGATGCTGTGTCCACGGGGCAGACGACGGGCGGACGGACGGGCGGGCGGGCGGGGTGGGGGGTAGAGAAAACACACAAGCGCGCACGCACGCACCCACACACAAGGACGACGCCGTCCTAAGAATCCAGCCGCTCACACTCAATGCTCCTTGCACCGCTACCGGGGTGGGGTGGGGGGGCGCCCGCTCCGCCACGCCATGGCGGCAAGCGACATGGGCAACATCTCGCGGCGCCCAATTACGGCCCGGCATGGCTTAGGGTGGGGCTCGGCACGGCCCTGCGGTTTCCGGCACGGCCCGAACAAGTTCTGGAGCGGCGCGCCCGCCTCCCCCGGCGCGGTCCGGAGGGGGGAGCCGGCGTTGGATGGCGTCTCGGACGAGGCCCGGAGTAGTGTCCTGGCTCGGCCTCCGCCCCACCCCCGCTTCCTCCGTCAACACCACCGCCCCCCCCCACCGCCCCTCCCGTTAGAAGTCGGCAAACTCTTTTGCGCACTTCTCGGTGGAGGAGATGCGGATCTCCTCCTCCTCGTAGTCGTCGAAGTTGCTGGCGTCGCCGGGGCCCTTGCACTTGGGGATGAAGGGAGCCTCCACCTGGTCGCGAAAAAGGTCCGCACACAACACCGCGAGGGGGGAGGGGGTCACTCCCTGGGTCGCGCGGTGGGGACTCGCCGTCGTAGAATTTCTCACGGTACAACGGCGATGCGACAGCAATCGAAAAGCGAGCGGCGGTCACGGTGGACATTTTCCCAAGTTTCAAAAATTTACCTAAAAATGACTCGAGTGGGATTACACGTAGCTAAAATAATGCCCGGCCCCGCCCCCCGCCACCCAATACTAATACTATGGTACCCTGGGGTACCGCCATAAGGTTCAAGTGGCTTATTAATTTATCGCAGTCAAATACTCTCAAAACGCGTGATGTTGATTTTAAATGTGGAGGGAAAAACCGGAGGACCCGGAGATAAATCCACGCTACCACGGGGAGAGAAACACTCAAACTTCAAATATACAGCAGCAGGCGTCAGGGTATGGGATCGAACCCACTACCTCCTGTATACCAGGCGAGGTCGTTAACATCTTGTCACCACTGTCCCTGTGCTGCACAGGGACAGCTACCACTTGGGTGTGGCGGGCAGGGGACGGGGGTGGGGGGGTGCCCTTTTAAACGTGGTGAAATGAGAAGCGCCCCCGGGATGCCACGGCCTAAAGGAGGGCGGCCGTCTATCGAAAACAAAACCATTATCATTGTTAAACTAAAAAACTATTTTTTATTTTACCAGGTAAGGACCACTGAGCTACGTAGCTCTTTTTCAGAAGCGACCTGGCTATCACAAATGAAAGCTCAACGAAGTGGCTTATCATCATGTGGACATTTATAGCAGCCAAATATTCTGAAGGGCATGTTGATTCTAAACGTGGAGGGAAAACCGGAGGACCTAGAGCAAAATCTACGCTACGACGGGGAGCGAAAACACTTAAACTCAAAATATACAGCGGGCGTCAAGATCAGGATCGAACCAACGACCTCCTGCATACCAGGCCAGGTAGTTAACATCTCGCCACCGCGGCACCCACATTGTTATCACTCAGAGAGGCCAATTGTCGCAACTCGGTTGTATCGGTTGCGTGAGTGGCTCTGAGCCTGGGCCTTAGCCTGGTTTTGGCCGGCCGAGTGGCCAGCGGGATGGGGGTACGGGGACGACGACGACGACGACACCTTGCGCTGGTAGATGGCGATCCAGTCAGTGGTGGAGAACCACTTGTGCCCCTTGATGTCGTTGACGCCGTTCTTGAGGTTTCCGAAGCGCTTGGTGAGGTCCACCTGGAGCAGGTTCCTCAGCACGTCCTTCAGGTCTGAGCTGAAGTGTGAGGGGAATCTCACCTGCGAGCGGGGAGGGGGGGACACAAAGAAAAAGACAAAGATCCCCTGTATAGCCTTAACAAACAGCGAGTAGCAGCACCTATGAAGGCTGGCACGGCGGACGAGAGGGTGGATGTCCAGCACCACGCAGACCGCCTGTGGCTCCCCAGGGGCGATGTTTACTACACACCGCTCCAGGTACTCATTTGAGGCTGAGTAGACCTAGGGGAGGCCCAGGACCGGTTCACATAATCGTCACTGGCGTTGATGCCCGTGAGCGGAAATCGAACTTGGGTCGCCGGGTTCATTGAGTAGCGTGATAACTGTCAAAGGAGATCTTCATGGGATCTCCTTTTCCAGTACTAAAATATGATAACAGGTTTTTTCCCATTTTTTCTGGCACCAAAATAGGTGTTAAGATGTCAACAACACTATCGCTCCCCCCTCTCACAGTCACCCATACACCACGCCTGTAATTCACAAGCAGCACAAGCCAATCGCTTTTTTCTCCGGGTCCTCCGGTTTTTCCCTCCACATTTAGAAACATGCATTGAGATTGTTTTGGTGCTATAAATGTCCAAATTAAGGGCCACTTTGTTGAGCTATCATTTGTGGCCAGGTCGCTTCTGAAAAATACGGCAATAACCTCAGTGGGCTTTGCCTGGTAGGATGGGGATGGATAAAATAAAAAAAGATAATTTGTATTTTCTTTTCTACCTACGTGACTTTACCGAAAGAACCAGAAAGTATGGATTACTGCAGTCACGAAAGCTTCAAATCAAGATAGGATGGGGATAGTTTAGTTTAATTTGTATATGTTTGGGTGATTTAATTCACTTTCTTGTACTATGCACGACTATCGTGTTTTTTGTACCGTTTATTGTTGTAACTTTCTTACCCACCCCTACTGTGAAAAAGAGCTTGAGAGCTCATCGGATTCCTCCAGTGTAAATAAATATTGTGATTCTGATTCAGCTTTTTCCCTTGAGAGGCGGGGCGGCGCAAGGCAAACCAGTACTCTGAGAGTCGTGGAGCACAGGGGGATCATTGTGTGGATAAGGCTGCCACCTGCTGGGGGCTGAGAGGTTGCTTGGAGTGCGGGGGGGCGGGGTGGAGGCGGTGCTGCAAGAGGTCAGCGCGCTGCACTACAAACCCGGCGAGACCCGAGTTCGATTCCCGCTCATGTCCAATAACAGTGGCGAATATTTGAACCAGTCTTGGGCCTCATCCTGGGTCCACTCAGCCTCAAATGTGAGTACCTGGTGCAGTTTGTAAATATCGCCAAGGGGGAGAAGAAGGTGGCCGGGCATGGTGCTGGCCACCCACCCTCCTCTTGTGTGCCGTGCCGACCTACATAGGTGCTACTCGCTCACAGCACTTGCCCAACAAAGTCTGTTGAGGCTATACTTGGGGGTTCTTTGTCTTTGTAGCAGGCAGTACACAGCAAGTGAGCAGTCGATCTAGCCTTCCAAAAGATTATTTTATTCAGAGGTGTCACCCTGGAAGAACGGGATTTCACCGTGCACTCAGTTTCCATCAAACACAGAGACAAGACAAAGATCCCCCCCCCCATTCAGCCTTTGCAGACTTTTGGGGCAAGTGCTCTTAAGCGAGTAGCACCGATGAAATCCGGCACGGTTAAAGAGGGGGTGGGTGGCCAGCACCACGCCCGGCCAGCTTTGTCTCTACACAGCAGCAACACAGCCTCACTGCAACACAGCGGCAACACAGCCTGACTGCAACACAGCAGCAACACTGCCCCAATGCAACATAGCAGCAAGACAGCATCACTGCAACACAGCAGCAACACAACCTCACTGACACATAGCAGCAGCACAGCGTCACTGCAACAAGAGCAGCAATACAGTGTCACTGAAATGCAGCAGCAACACAGCTTCAATGACACACAGCAACACAGCCTCACTGACACACAGCTGCAACACAGCATCACACACAGCAGCAACACAGTGTCACTGACACGCAGCAGCAACACAGCATCACACACACAGCAGCAACACAGCCTCACTGAGACACAGCAGCAACACAGCCTCCCTTACACACAGCAGCAACACAGCCTGACTTACACACAGCAGCAACACAGCCTCACACACACAGCAGCAACACAGCCTCACTAACACACAGCAGCAACACAGCCTCACTTACACACAGCAGCAACACAGCCTCACTGAGACACAGCAGCAACACAGCCTCACTTACACACAGCAGCAACACAGCCTCACTGAGACACAGCAGCAACACAGCCTCACTTACACACAGCAGCAACACAGCCTCACTAACACACAGCAGCAACACAGCGTCACTGACAGACAGCAGCAACACAGCCTCACTGAGACACAGCAGCAACACAGCGTCACTGACACACAGCAGCAACACAGCGTCACTGACACACAGCAGCAACACAGCGTCACTGACACACAGCAGCAACACAGCATCACTTACACACAGCAATACAGCCTCACTTACACACAGCAGCAACACAGCATCACTTACACACAGCAATACAGCCTCACTTACACACAGCAGCAACACAGCCTCACTGACATACAGCAACACAGCCTCACTTACACACAGCAGCAACACAGCCTCACACACACAGCAGCAACACAGCCTCACTAACACACAGCAGCAACACAGCCTCACTTACACACAGCAGCAACACAGCGTCACTTTCACACAGCTGCAACACAGCGTCACTTACACACAGCAGCAACACAGCCTCACACACACAGCAGCAACACAGCCTCACACACACAGCAGCAACACAGCCTCACTTACACACAGCAGCAACACAGCCTCACACACAGCAGCAACACAGTGTCACTGACACGCAGCAGCAACACAGCATCACACACACAGCAGCAACACAGCCTCACACACAGCAGCAACACAGCCTCACTGAGACACAGCAGCAACACAGCCTCACTTACACACAGCAGCAACACAGCCTCACTGAGACACAGCAGCAACACAGCCTCACTTACACACAGCAGCAACACAGCCTCACTAACACACAGCAGCAACAGAGCATCACTGACACACAGCAGCAACACAGCCTCACTGAGACACAGCAGCAACACAGCGTCACTGACACACAGCAGCAACACAGCGTCACTGACACACAGCAGCAACACAGCATCACTTACACACAGCAATACAGCCTCACTTACACACAGCAGCAACACAGCCTCACTGACATACAGCAGCAACACAGCCTCACACACACAGCAGCAACACAGCCTCACTAACACACAGCAGCAACACAGCCTCACTAACACACAGCAGCAACACAGCCTCACTAACACACAGCAGCAACACAGCCTCACTTACACACAGCAGCAACACAGCGTCACTTTCACACAGCAGCAACACAGCCTCACTTACACACAGCAGCAACACAGCCTCAATGACACACAGCCTCACTTACACACAGCAGCAACACAGTGTCACTGACACGCAGCAGCAACACAGCATCACACACAGCAGCAACACAGCCTCACTGAGACACAGCAGCAACACAGCCTCCCTTACACACAGCAGCAACACAGCCTCACTTACATACAGCAGCAACACAGCCTGACACACACAGCAGCAACACAGCCTCACTAACACACAGCAGCAACACAGCCTCACTTACACACAGCAGCAACACAGCCTCACTGAGATACAGCAGCAACACAGCGTCACTTACACACAGCAGCAACACAGCCTCACTGACACACAGCAGCAACACAGCGTCACTTACACACAGCAGCAACACAGCCTCACTGAGACACAGCAGCAACACAGTGTCACTGACACACAGCAGCAACACAGCATCACTTACACACAGCAGCAACACAGCCTCACTGACATACAGCAGCAACACAGCCTCACTGACACACAGCAGCAACACAGCCTCACTTACACACAGCAGCAACACAGACTCACTTACACACAGCAGCAACACAGCCTCACTTACACACAGCAGCAACACAGCCTCACACACACAGCAGCAACACAGCCTCACTAACACACAGCAGCAACACAGCCTCACTTACACACAGCAGCAACACAGCGTCACTTACACACAGCAGCAACACAGCCTCACTTACACACAGCAGCAACACAGCGTCACTTACACACAGCAGCAACACAGCCTCACTAACATACAGCAGCAACACAGCCTCACTGAGACACAGCAGCAACACAGCCTCAATGACACACAGCAGCAACACAGCATCACTTACACACAGCAGCAACACAGCCTCACTTACACACAGCAGCAACACAGCCTCACACACAGCAGCAACACAGCATCACTTACACACAGCAGCAACACAGCGTCACTTACACACAGCAGCAACACAGCCTCACTAACATACAGCAGCAACACAGCCTCACTGAGACACAGCAGCAACACAGCCTCACTGACACACAGCAGCAAAACAGCCTCACTACACACAGCTGCAACACAGCGTCACTGACACACAGAAGCAACACAGCCTCACTGAGACACAGCAGCAACACAGCCTCACTGACACACAGCAGCAAAACAGCGTCACTTACACACAGCAGCAACACAGCCTCACTGACACACAGCAGCAACACAGCCTCACTGAGACACAGCAGCAACACAGCCTCACTTACACACAGCAGCAACACAGCCTCACTGAGACACAGCAGCAACATAGCCTCACTTACACACAGCAGCAACACAGCCTCACTGACACACAGCAGCAAAACAGCGTCACTTACACACAGCAGCAACACAGCCTCACTGACACACAGCAGCAACACAGCCTCACTGAGACACAGCAGCAACACAGCCTCACTTACACACAGCAGCAACACAGCCTCACTAACACACAGCAGCAACACAGCTTCACTTACACACAGCAGCAACACAGCGTCACTGATACACAGCAGCAACACAGCCTCACTTACACACAGCAGCAACACAGCGTCACTGACACACAGCAGCAACACAGCCTCACTGACACATAGCAACTCGAATGTGCAGGTACCCCCCCCCCCCCACCTCGCCTCGCGTGCGCCCGAACAAACCTTCCCGGAGACGATTTTCTCGTAGATCTGAATGGGCTGGTCGGCGAAGAAGGGGGGGTACCCCGCCGCCATCTCGTACACCAGCACGCCCAGCGCCCACCAGTCCACGGCTTTGTTGTAGCCCTGTCGCGCACGTAACCAAAAAAAACCGAAGAGACAAAAAGACAATGATCCCCTGTGTAGCGTTGACAAACTGTTGAAGGCAGGCGCGGCCCACGCGAGGGGGTAGGGCTTGGCCAGCACCATGCCCGGCTGCCTTTGTCTCTCCAGTGGCGATGTTTACCACACACCGCACCAGGTACTCATGTGAGGCTGAGTTTAGTGAAACAAAGAGACACCAACCCACCCACCCCACCCACAACAAACCACACGTTGACTTTTGAACCCTCTCCCGTTCACGTACGTCATCGGAACGGAACCGGGAAGGAAAGGAAAGGATAAAAACTTAATCGGTACCGAGTGCTCCCACAAGGCCACGCGGTGGGAGGGGCGTGTGGCACAGTTTGGCGCCGGCTATTGTCGAGCGCGGTCGTGTCGCTACGGTTCTATTTTTAAACGTGACGACGCTACTACTATGGCCCCCTGCCCTCACGCAGAGCCACTGGCGCCAATTCCCGAGATTCAGCGGTAAACGGGGACACCCACCCACACGCTCGGAACGGTAAAAGGGGGTTCTCACAGCCTCGGTAGGGTAAATGCTGTAAGCAGAAGCACCAGTTACGGTTGACTGTGGGCGGCGGTGTGGCTGGTACCATGCCCGGCAAACCCTTTGTCTCGGTGCCGGTTGGCCACGTACGGCGCGAAAGAAGTTCAACACACAAACGTATGGCAAGTCCTCCTGAAACACCACATGTTAAGCGGAGGACTTACCGTATACATTTCCGTTCTGATTACTATTGACGGTATTCATGATGTGTGTGGACGGTGAGGATGGGGGAAAGGGCGGGGGAGTTGGTGGGGCACGTGGTGATCACAACACCTACTTTACTGAGGATTATCTCCGGCGCCAGGTACTCCGGGGTCCCGCACAGGGTCCAGGTCCTCCCCTTGACGCGCTTGGCAAAGCCGAAGTCGGTGACCTGCGCAGACAATAACGGCGACGGGAGAGACATAACGTATCAATGTGTGTCGTTAACCCGCCACCACCTGACACAGCCAAATTGGTAAGGTTTGTCACGTAAACAAAACGTGCCAATTGGTTGCTACTTTAGCCCACGATTCTGGAAAAATCGCCCGATAATGCAGGATGTTAATTACCAGCAAAACGTCACGGTACAAAAATTGTAAATGCTCTCCAACACACCACTGAGTGCCGAACTAGTAACTAATTGGTACGTTTTGTTTACTTGACAACCCCTACTTAATTGGCTATGTCGGGTGGTGGTGGCGGGTTTAACGACACATTGATAATTATGCGATCTAACCCAAAAAACAAAAACTTTATTACGAATAATATTGGTGGCGGAAGCCTACTTACATCTCAAACAGATGTGTAAGACAGCCCACCGCTCAGCTCTGGCACGTGGCGGGGGGGTGGGCCACCCCCCCACCCCCACCCCTCCAACCTTGGCACGCGATGAGAGCGCTTGTTTAAAACCAGGGTTGCCCTCTTCGACTGTTATTATTTTCCGCGGGGGCCATATAACATACAATACAATTTATGTACGCGCTGGCAAGCGGGCCACGCGGCGTCTCGTGCCGCGTACGCTGACGTCACGGCATCACGTGGCGTCGCGTGCCGCATGCGCAGACGTCACGGTACCACGTGGCGTCGCGCGTGCCGCATGTGCAGACGTCACGGCACCACGTGGCGTCGCAGCGCCTAAGCTCTCGTCTCCAGGTCCATCATCTCAATCCCGACGGGAGAGAAAGTCCAGGGACTGCTTATTGTTTTTAATTATTAATACTGCTACTTGTTTTTTCCAGACTTGCACTCGCCTATCTCGATAATTCTGTTGAACCGGGTGAGAACTCAAGAGTGTGAGGAATTGGTGTGTTGTGTGCGTGTTACTCCGGAGAGACAAAAACGGACCTGGATGTACCCCTGCTGGTCGATGAGAAGGTTCTCTGGCTTGAGGTCTCGGTAGATGAGGTCGAGTGAGTGCAGGTACTCGAACGCCAGCACGATCTGAGCCGCGTAGAACCGCGAGTGGGGCTCGCTGCACACGCCCAGGCAAAGACAATGTCGTAGTGAACACCGGTGAAGGCCGGCAAATGCGGCACACGAGGGGTGCGAGTGGCCAGCACCACGCCGAGGCAAACTTTGCCTCCCCAGCGCTGATGTTAACACACTGCACCGGGTACGCATGTAAGGGTGAGTCGACCTAGGGGAAGGCCAAGGACCAGTTAAAATATTCGCCACTGTCATCGTCTGTGACCGGGATCATGGCGCAGTGCGGAGCTCACCATTTACACGATCGCTCCCCACCTCCCCATGACAAGTGTCCCCCTCGTAAAGTCTGAATAGTGGGGCAAGCGCTGTTAAGCAAGCACTCTTATGAAGGCAGGCATGGCGCACGAGGGGGTGGTGTGGCCAATACCACGTCCGGCCGCTTTTGTCTCCCGAGTCGCCATTGTGGCAAGATGTTATATACCTTGCCTGGTATACAGAAAGGTGTGGTTCGATCCCGACCCTGACAATCTGTATATATGGAGTTTGCGATGTGTCCCTCCGCATGGTGGCATTAATCTATCCTCCGGGTCCTCCGGTTTTTTTTCCCCTCCACATTTAGAATCAACGTCACGGCGTTTAGAGTATTTGGCTACTGGTATAAATGTCCACGTGATCATGATGATGATAAGCCACTTCCTTGGGCTATCATTTGTGATAGGCAGGTTCCCCTCTTCTGAAAAAGAAGCTAAAGTAGGGAGTTGTATATTCTGATAATTCTGATTCTGGCCGATCGGGAGTGGTCATAGAGGGTTTTATGTGAATCCTATAAAGCCAGAGAGACCGCCCATATTAAAACTCGCCTCAACCCGCTCGCCTGCTGTGCCACCGCCGCCACTGCTGCTTCATCGTGACTCATCGAGCCAAACGTTTTGGAACAACCTTGGTTTTGTTTCCACCCTCAAACATCGTAGATCTTGATTTAAAGCTTTCGTGACTGCAGTGATTCATATTCTTCTTTCAAATGTTCTTGCCGTTGGTTTTCACACCTGATGATGACTGCTTGTGTTGCCTTCGAAACGTCGTGAGAATTTGATTGTTTTTATATATATTATTATTTTATTGTTTCCCTTCAACGTGACTTTACCGAAAGAACCAAGAATATCGTAGATCTTCCTTCGAAAGAACGATCCTGAAGCAGAAGATTCGTGCTGGACACGGCGGTAACATCGCCGCAACTTTGGTCCTTAGCCATGCAGCATCGATAGTTCAATGTGACTGTGGCCATTTTATTTAAAAGCACGATTGCTGTTGCTGCTGTGTGCTGTGTTCTCTTGTTGGTGAAGTCTGGGACAGTTTTTGTTGTTGTCGTTTTTGCTGCCTTGCCCAAGATTGATAAATCTATTTTGCACTACTGTCGTATTGTTTTCTTTTATTTGGTTGCCGTTGTATAATTTGCTGACCATCTGCTTAAAAAGAGCTTTACATATCATCGGATTCCTCTTTTCCCCCCTCCTCTTTTCCCCCCTCCTTCGTCTTCCTCCCTCCCTCCCCCCTCCTCCCCCAGTCCAAACAAAGATTCTGATTCAAAAGGCCGAGCCACCTCACGGTGGTTACCTGAAGCGTCCGATCCTCCGCAGGTGGGAGAACATCTCTCCCCCGGGCACGTACTCCAGCACCATGTACAGGTTAGAGTTGTCCTGCACAAGACAAAAAAAAAAAGATTCCCCCATGTCGCCTCGACGGTCCCCTGGGGGCGAGTGCTATTAGTGAGCACCAATCACGGCCGGAGCGACGCACGACGGGGGTGGTGTGGCCAGCACCACGCCCCACGCGGACTTTGTCTCCCCAGTGCCGATGTTTGCCGATGTTTACGCAGCATAGCAGGCACTTAATTGAGGCTGAGTCAACCTAGGTGAGGCCCAGCACCGGTCCGGATGATCGTCACCGGTATTGACCGTGAGCGGGAATCGAACTCAGGTGGCAGGTTTCTCAGTGCAGCACTAACTGCTACCACCCCCCCCCCCCCCAAAAAGACAAACATCCCCCGTATAGCCTTTAACAGGCTGTTGGGGCAAGAGCTGTTAACGAGCGGCACCTATGAAGGTCGCCAAAGGCACACGATGGGGGTGGCGTGACCAGCGCCACGCACCCGACCGCAACTTTGTCTCCCAAGTGACGACGCTTACGCAGCGTAGCACGTCCTCATTTGAGGCCGAGTCAACCTAGGTGAGGCCCAGGACTAGGTGAGGGACGGGACGAGGAAAGGACGGTACGGGACCGGACGCGCTACCTTGTAGCTGTACTCGAGGCTGACGAGGAAGGGGAAGCTAATGGCCTGGAGGATCCGCTTCTCGTTGAGCGTGTGCTCCACCTGTTTTAACTTCACCACCTGCAAAGAGAGAAAGCTCCCATTGTTTGCCAGGTATCTTCGCATAATCTTGGGAGAGGGGAGGGTACCGAAGGTGAACGCGCCAAAAACTGGAGGAGTGGGGTGACATTTATGGGATTCGTGTGCGGTGGATGGGGCAGTGCAGAATAGGAATTTTTTTGTTTTATATTAGTGGAATCCGATGAGCTGTAATGCTCTTTATATGTCCAGTAGGGGCGGTGTCAGAAAGTTACAACAACATACTATACGAAAAGACGATAAGAGTGCAAAGTAAGCGAATCACTGAATTGCAACAACGACTAAAAAGCTATGTTTATTTTACCAGGTAAGCCACCACTGAGCTGTGAGCTTCTGTTTCAGAAGTGACCTGGCGCCACAAACGATAGCTCAACGAAGTGGCGGGGAGACAGCGCTGCGGGCACCTTCTGCTTGTCGAGGATCTTCATGGCGAAGTATCGGTCCGTCGCCTTGTGCTTGACGAGCATGACTCGCCCGAAGGAGCCCGTTCCCAGCGTCTTCATCCGCTCAAAGTCGTCCAGGCACGATGTGTTCTGCATGCGGCGAAGACAGAGGACACCCCCGGCAAAGACTTTAGTCGACCGTTGGGGGCGAGCGCTGTTGTAAGCGAGCGCCCGATGAAGGCCGGCACGGCGCACGAGAGTGGGGGGGTTGGTGGGGGTCGGCCAGCGCCACCCCATGCGCTGATGTTTACTCGTACTCGTTTGAGGCACGCACAGACGCATGCATGCTCACACGCGCTCACACGCACACACACTCACTCACTTTCACACACACACAACAAAGATCCCCCGTGGAGCCTCAACAGGCCTTTGGGGCGAGTGTTGTTATAAAGAACACCTCATGAAGGCCGGCACGCGGCACGAAGTAGGGAGTGAGTTGGCCAGCACCACCCCATGCGCTGATGTTTACTCATACTCGTTTGAGGCACACACAGCGCTAGCGTGAATTCAAACTGCAAAATTGAGCGAATTCTGGGTAGAATCAGAATCTGTATTTATCCTGGACAAATCCGACCAGCTACGAAGCTCTTTCATCGCGGACGTCTAGTAGTAACACCACACAAAGACAAAAGACACATACACGCACGCGCACTTGTCGCTCCTCCCACCTGTTGGGGGTTTTCCCATTTCTTCAGGAAGTCTTCCTTGGCTTTGGCCAAAAACTCCTTCACTGCAAAAATACACATGGCGGAAACGGCAGGGGAGGGAGGGGAGGGGGGGGCATGATAACAGCAACAACGACGACGGGAGCGCGCGTCGGCACGACGAACTCTCTCCCCAACGGCGAAAATCCATGTCGGAAGCGGCTTTGTTACGGCGGCGCTGGCTACGGTGGGCAACATGCTGCAACATGCATCATAGCTGCGTGACAAGAGTAGTTAAAACTATAGATATTTACATTCAATGGTTCTTTCGGTAAAGTCACGTAGATAGAATAAAAAAATATTGAATTTGTATTACCAGGTAAGGCCCACTGAGCTATGTTAGCTGCTTTTTTTTATAAGCGACCTGGCCATCACAAGTGACAGCTAAGCGAAGCGGGCTTATCATCATCATCGTGTGGACATTTATAACAGTAGCCAAATAACGCTCTATATGCGTGATGTTGATTCTAAATGTGGAGGGGAAAAAACTGGAGGACCCCCGAAAAAAATCCACACGACCAGGTTGAGAGATAGAGACACGCAAACTCCAAATATACAGCAAGCGTCAGGGTCAGGATCGAACCCACGACCTCCTGTACACCAGGTGAGGTCGTTAACGTCTCCAGGCCACCATGGCGCCCCAGTGATCGCGGGATGCTTTGGATGTCATCTGCCAGCCGAGTAGCTCCCTCGACAAAGAGCTTCGTAGCTCGAAGGGCTTTCGTCGGGAAATAAATTGCTGATAAAACTTTTGAAAACTCCTGATGCAAAATTGCGTTGGCAGAAGTCAAACCTGGATTTTAACCGGAGAGTTTTTAGCACCGCGCGTGCCTGAACTTAAAAGGGTATTTTTTCATGTCATAAAATAAATTGGTTCGAAGTGGAGGGGTCTTTTTTTTTATAAATCTCATGAATCGTGACAATTAACAACTAGAATGTAAAGCTCTTTGTATAGAATCAACTCACGCCTCATTAAGGACGCAATTAATTCCCTCCCCATTGTTGTTCACTTATTGATCATCACAATTCAAGAACTGATCAATTTTACGTCTCATTTTTGGCGGCGGCTGTAGGTTTAACGACACGTTCCTATTTACGCGATCTCACCCAAAAAAACCTCTATTATGGATCATATTAGTCGCGAAAGCCTACTACTTCTATGACGCGTTAAACCGTCTCATTTTTGTCATTCGTTTCTCATGTTCTCTATCACCTGCTCCATGAGCCCTGTAGGTACAAATCCACACATGTTTCAGTTTTCAGTTTATTTATTTTGGTATAGCCCTGTGAGCCATTCGGCTCTTGAATCGGTGGTTTGCCAGAATCGTGGATAACCAATGCTTACACATAACCTTCGATGTAATGCACCTCCAGCCTGAGAAAAGTATTTTTACTCTATGAATAATTCACGTAATCACAATCATCTTCTGTACGTAAGCTCTCATAGCAACAAGCCATTTCGAACCAGCAGCCCCTGTTTTACACTAAGAGAGGGTTGTGATCCAGCTTCCTATGTTAAGTTGGAGGTACGGCCTTGTCCTCCTACAAGGCGGTGGGGTTAGTCGCGTTCCTGAAGAACACTGAGTTATGGAAACATCGCGTTATAATATCATATCAGGGGTAAATATCATATCAGGGGTAAAGCAACAGTCCGCGATGATACGTGAAACGCGTAACGCAGGGCCTGAACAAAGACTGAGACGCGTGGTGGGTAGCATCTAGAAACATCTAGCAGCATCCTAATATGCCTTGAGTGAAGCTACACCGAGGCAGCCGTAACAACCGCTTATTCCTACTTGCGCGACGTAGTTCAGTCTGCTCAATCGCGTTATATCTATTTTGCATCTGCGTGAAAAAAAAATGCGTTCCCTAATACATTATTCGCGTTCTATCCAATTCGCGTCATGAGAAAATCACGCGGCGTACAGGAGAACAACTATGCCTGGCCAATTGCTGTCACTGTTGTAGTGAAGATTAATGTCATCTGCTTGACACTGGGTGGCGTCATTGGGTTTTTAGACCATCTTGCTTGAACACTAAGAGTGGAATTTAATATATTTTTCAGTGACGTATTGATAGAAAAACAAACTATTGTCAATAAAATCTCTGCTCTGAAAAAGGACCAGTACATCGGCGAACCTGATGTACTGATACGTGTCTCATCACGGCGGCCTTCAACCTGGGCCGATACTTGGGACGTCTGTCCGTATAACTTCTTTTGCACCGTACGGAGCCAACCATGCTAATCGAAAGTGCAGTGTTGAGTCTATAGAAAGGTTTGAGCCTATGGGCAGTGTTGTGTCTATGGGTAGTATGCATGTTGAACTTCGTTTGCACGGTACGTAGCCAAGCGTGCTAATTGGAGGTGCAGTGTTGAGTCTATGGGCAGTATTGAAGTTATGGGTAGCGTTAGTCTGGGCAGTGTTGAGTCTATGGGCAGTATTGAGTCTATGGGTAGTGTTAGTCTGGGCAGTGTTGAGTCTATGGGCAGTATTGAGTCTGGGTAGCGTTAGTCTGGGCAGTATGTACGTACGTACTTCTTTTGCACCGTACGTAGCCAACCGTGCTAATCAGAGGTGAGCGATGGACTCGCAAGACGTGACCACTGGAAAGCCGAGAAGGCATACAAAGTGGTTCTCTGTACCTGCCTCAACCAACAGGCCTCCTCCAGGTCATCCCAGGTCACCACAGGTCATCACAGGTTACCCCAGGCCACCTCAGGGAATTTCAGGTCACTCAAGGTCATCCCAGGTCACCCCAGGCCAGCCAGGTCATCCCAGGTCACCCCAGGTCACCCCAGTTCATTCCAGGCCACCCCAGGTCATTCTAGGACACACCAGGTCACCCCAGGCCACTCCCCCCCCCACCCCCTACCATTACACAGTTTCACATTCTATGCCCGTTCCGTCAGCCGTCACAGATGCAGGGTGACGGCACGCGAATGGTACGAAGGCCGGGTGCGATTGGTTCACCGGGGGGGGGGGGGGGGAAGTCAGGCGGTCAGTCGTCAGTCTCCGTTTATAACAGCCAACGGGTTCCTGAACGTTGCCGAGCAAAAAACAAACAAACTCAGACGAGCGACGGGCTGGGGGGGGGGCGGTGGTTTTAAGAGTTAAGAGTGTGGGGCTCTATCATTTCATCTCAACACCAACGTCGTCATTCTCCCCAAACCCCTTTTGGCAACTTTAAAAAAATGTTGTTGCAGCGATTGCAAAAAAAAACATGCCGGAGTCGCCGATGCCGTTGCAGGCAGCGGGGGGAGGGATAACAGCGATAACGGCGTGTCCGTACAGGGCGCACCGTCCATTATTTACGAACTGGAATCAATGACGGCGGATTTGAGGCAAGGTCGTCGTGCACGCTTTGTAGTGCGACGATTTTTATCGTACGGGACTCATCCCCCCCCCCATCTCTCTCTAGACCTCCGCGTTTCCACCACTGGTACCGGGTTCGAGGAGCAGTAGCAGCGGCGGTGATGCACGTCGCGGCGTCGAGACCTGAGAATAATCCCCCCCCCACGCCCGGGGTGTTATCGAACGTCTCGCGTTTGTGCGATTGCTCGCAAGGCTCTCCGGAGTGAAACATGAATCGCCGTCCGCGATTCTTGATCGCCCAAAAGGATTTTCTGGCTTTCTCTCGGCAGCAAAAAAACCCACGTGTGTCATCCGTCAATAAGCATGAAAACATAATAAGAATAGGTTTTTACCCTTTCTAGCACTGAAACAGGAGTTGCTTCAAGATGGTCAAATACCAAATAGAAACCTTTTGCAAAGGAATCGAGTGCTGCATTAACCACACACAGTACTTGTGGTGAACATGCAAACAAACGTGCTCTGATAATAATGTATGCATTGTCGTTTAAACTGATTGGCCTACACCAGAGGACAGCCTTCTATGTGGCCTTGTCTCCACCAGCATTAGACCAGAAAACACCAAAGGAAAACAGTATAAAGGGCAAATGAACGAATCAAAGCGTTAATAGCTCGGGTTGAGCAGTTATATCATGTGATACATCTTTGCCAGTATCAAAATGATGAAAAAACAATAGGCTTTCGCCTTTCTGGCAATAAAACAAGAGGGGTGTTAAGATGTTTAAACACCACATAGATACCTATTGGAAAGGAATCAAGTATCCATTAACTTAAAAATGATAACGTGAAAAATGAGAATAGGTTATTACCATTTCTGTTCACCATTTGGTGCTCTCTGGTCTACTAACATCAGTGGTGAGACGAGGCCGTGAAGAAGGCTGCAGCTCTGGTGGAGGCCAATCAGTTTCAAAGACAATGCGTACATACATTATTGTCAGAGCACGTTTGTTTGCATGTTCACAAGTACAGTAAAACCTTGGATTGCGAGTAACTTGGTCTGCGAGTGTTTTGCAAGACGAGCAATTTTTAAAAATAAATATTCATTTGATAAACGAGCGAGGTCTTGCAATACGAGTAATACGTATACGCTTTATACTGCCGAGCGTCACGTGATCACAACTGATATACGAGTGTTTTGATATACGAGTGCTTTGGATTACAAACGCGTTTCCGGAACGAATTATGCTCGCAATCCAAGGTTTTACTTACGTGTAGTTGATGCAGTACTTGATTCTTTGCAAAATGTATCTATTTGGCATTTGAACATCTTAACACCTGTTTTTATTGTTAGAAAGGATAAAGCCTATGCTTATTTTTCATACTTTGATACTGGAAAAGGTCCCACAAGTTTAACTTATTATCCTTCAATTATGGACGATACCCCAAGTGTTGAAACCTGAACTTTTTTCGCATCCGTATGTAGCCCGACCGTGCTGAACCACTAACCACTAACCACCGGACGTCTCGCATACGTTGAAAATCTTCAGGAGTCCCCAGAATCATCGTTTGTGGTGCTATTACTGCAGAACAGGGCTTCGATTTTACCTTTTATTTGTGCGAAACTGAGACCGCGTTATATTCAAGCGTAAGATTAACTGCGAGCAAGTGTAACAATGTCCCCCGCCACCCTCCGCTCTCCCCTACCCTTAGACTCA